GTCAGATTTTTTTAAAACCTCTTAGATAAAAAGTTATAACTATTTAAAAAATTGAAACACTTCGTGTAACTGTTGAGTATAGATTTCCTGCACCATATAAGAAATTTTGCGGGCCGGGCCGAGCTGAAGAAAAAATTTAATTATATGCGGGCCGGGCTGGCAAAAAATTTTAACCCTAAATGCGGGCCGGGTCGGGCCTCAAAAATAGGCAATTTGCAGGCCCCTAGTCTACAGGAAGACCTCCTCATTATTATGTTGAGTATGAAACGTTAGCTATTCAAATATGTAACGGATTATGTCCTGAATTTGCTAAAGGAGTGCTATACCCAATTAAATTATTAAATTGGTATTTGATATAAATGATAGTAGTGCAGAAGATTGTAAAGGACTAGCAATATTAAAAGCATTCCAATCTGCAGATGCGATTATTCCAACATTATCAACCGAGTTGCCAATTTGCCCTAAAGATAGATAAACTTACAAGTAAACTGCTTAGCTTTAAAAACCTTATGTAAATTTATGAACATAACTTATATTAAAATATAAGATTATTATATTCACTCATTATTAAATAAATTAATGTATTCGTTAATTAATCTTTATTAATTATTTTGTTATGCCTTGCTGATCATTGAACCATTCTTTTGTATTTTTCAATCTCCGATATTAATTAACCAGTCCGGACCGGGGACTGAAAACCCTTTAGTCCAGTTCAAAGACCGGTCCAACCCTAGATCGCATGTTTGACACCAACCTTTAGATGAGTTATATAGTTTGCAATTTGCACGTTTTCCTTTCCAACTCTATCTTTTAGAACCAAATTCATCAAATACTAACATATGTTCGTTTGTGAATGTGTTTTGAGTTAATCCATGGACTTCTAACTGACTCTAATTGCACATGATTTTTAAACTTATAAAATATATAAAGTATATAAATTGAGTATACATATTATTAATTAAATTAACTGATAATAAAATAATATAAACTCACTTCTTTTAAAATATTTTGAATATTTAATGACCTAGTTAATCTTTTAAGCTTCACTTTATATGATCGTATACGCGACTGTGTATATCTATATTTTGTATATCAACCAAGTTGCAAAAAATTTATCCTCAATGATTTGAATATTTTCTAGTCTATTAAAAGGAATTCATTCGATTACGATGTGGCTTTAAGTTGAAATTCTTTAATACAATCATCGACTTCCTTATTCGACTTGTTTATCCTTGTGTTGTTTTTTGAGGATCATATATTTGACACCAAGCTTTATATGCATTATATCGTTTGTAATTTCACATTTTCCATGCTCATTATTTCTTTTAGAACCAAATTCATCAAATACTAACATGTATTCGTTCGTAATTATGTTTTGAGTTAATCCATAGACTTCTAACCGACTCTCTAATTGCACATAATTTTTAAACTTATAAAATATACAAAATATATAAATTAATATACACATTATGAATTAAATCGACTGATAATAAAATAATATACACTCACTTCTCTTAAAATATTTTGAATATTTGGTGATCTAGTTATTCTTTTAAGCTCCACTTTATATGATCGTATATGTGTACGTTCTCCATATAGCCAAGTTGCTAAAAACTTATCACTAAAGTTTTTTATATTTTTTAATATATTAAAAGGAATACTCCTTCGTAGTATTCGTGTTATCTTCTGAGGGTCACATCCTCGGGACCAAGTGTAATGTGTTATTTCGGTTACAATTTGCACATTTTCCATACAATTTATCTCTCTTAGAACCGAATTCACCTTTCATAATTCCAAGGTGATTTGAGTGTGTGGGAACGAAAACATGAAATTTATCATATTATATGAACAATTAACAAAAAAAGGTACTGTAAAAAGTATATGTATACTCGTTAAAAAATAAGACAATTTTTTTTTTTATACGTATAACACATTTAATATCGATATCGTTGATCAAATTTCTAGAATTAAATATTAATATGCATGAGCATCTGAAAATAATACCAAAACAAGGAATCGAACATAATTCCCTAACCGAGTACCCCATTCTCAGAATAGTGTACTCAGCCGAAATTGAACTTCCGTACCTGGATCAGAAAATCTGCCAAGCCGACATTCAACCCCTTTGAACTATGTCTGAATAATTACCTAATCAATTTTATATAATCTTTTAAAACCGTTATTCGTGTTACTAGATTGTCCAATCATATTTCGCCGTAATTTACTGTAATAAAAATAATCATAATATATTTACGCTTTTAAGTTTTTTTTTGCCTAAACCCTTAGTCAAAATGCCAAAATATACGACGTTTATTAAAACAAAGTTGTTCCGAAGTTTTAACGAACCCAACGGTATGATGAGATAAAAAAAAAAAAAAACACCTTTTTATGAAATTTTATGTCTATAACATGGGAAATTATTTACCTACTTCCGTTTTGATTCTTCTCAAGCTTGTATACTTTCGACATAAAAAGTTGTTGGCTAAGTGTGTCGAAGCAAGAGTTTTTGCCGAAATGCATTCATGAAAGGTTGACACATTATAAACATAATAAAGAAAATTGAGAAAAACTTATTTTATAGTAGGTAAGCATAGCGGGCTTTCATTGTAATTGGCTGATTTTTGTAGATAATTCCTTGGTTAATTGAAATTATTCACAAGACAAATTTTATACCGTACGAAACTATATTCTGATATAATTAATAATTGAATATTTATTACTACTGTATAAAATCAAATTGGTATTAATAAACGCATTACTACGAAGTCTATTAACTCAAAATCTAAAACTATCATCCCGATACAAAAAAACCCAAGATATTATTTTAAAAAAACCACCATTACACCAATTTTTTTAAAAAAAATTATACATAAAAAGCACAAAAAACAGATAAAAAATATAAACTATTTATTTTGAAGACTATAAAAATCATATAAATAATTTTTTAATTGTACATGATAACAGTTAATTAATACCCAACGAATTTAACCATATTCTAATTAATGATCTTAAACGTAACACTATGCTTTAATAATAGACTTAACACTATATTTTAATCATTATAAGTTCGCAAGCTCATGTTTTCATTGCTTCACATCACTAATCTATTTACTGTCAGTACATGTTATCTTTAGAAAAATAATAAGTTATAAATAAAATAGATTAGCGTTGTTGACCTTTTGAAAAATGACTTATTTTACCAAGTTTAATACATTGTAGATTATATTGGTTAAATTGAAACGCCTCCCATATAACTTCCAAATTACCTCGTCAATTATCAAATCACTTTGGTGCCGAAGGTGTAGTTTCTAAATTTTTATGTCGTAACCCCTGCGAATTCGTATTTGTGGCTACATAATAAAGCCGCTATGCTTAGTAGGTAGGTTACTTGTATATTCGATGTTTTTTTATTATTTTATTCTTGCTTGTGAAAGGGTTTTTTCGATATGTATAATGCATATCTACTTGTTCGATTTTATTATTTGCTAAATATAGCATTGTATTCGTGGAAATTAGATTGTATTATGGTGCTTTACTATTTTAGATAAGCTATTTAATTTCAACAATTTTGTCGAAGCTTACGTTTTTTTTGTGTAGCTTTTCTCAAATATAACTTGCTAATGATCAGTACTATTGAATAAAGTAATTTTAATATATATTAATTTTTCAGAAAATTCACGGTGCAAAAATATGAATTTTAATTTTGTTCAATTAGAGTAGCTCTACAAAAAATAGATAGTTCATACCTTTATTTTTGTTTATTTAATTATTCATTAATTTATTCCATTAAGCATCTCAAATTTATCTTATTTCAAAAATAAGTGGAAGTTTAAAAAATCTCATTGATGCTTAAAATCCTGATTTTTTTAAAAAAAAATAGAATTTGAAGTTCGCTCAATTTGAAATAAATGTATCACTTATTCAAGCTGAAATCAGAAGCTAAATAATTAATTTTGAAATCCTCATTACTTTTACATCAGGAAATTTTTTGACCCGATGGATATCGATTGTTATTTAGGGTTATTAATCGATTATCAACACCTTCACTAATAGAAATAATATGCGATAGTTATTGTGTATTGATTTCTATCGACATATATAAAAATCGATAGTTATTATATATGTCGATTTATATCGATTTGATAGAATCGATAGATATCAATAAGTATCGATAAGTTATAGTTATTGTATGGATATGTGTGTGTAACTAACTTACACACACATATCCATACAATAACTATATTATCGTACGGGTCTGACGTAACAACCTGTGCGGCACTATTTAATAATTTAAACTTTTTTGTGTCACCATTTAAGTAATTTCTTTAATTTGTTTGTGAAACTTCTTGCTTACTAATTCTAACCTTCTTTTTTACAAATGCCAAATAACAGTCTTACGGTTGAGGATCCTGAAGCCCAACGGCTTATAAACCTTTCATATGTTGCAAACACTGAAAAAAATACTTCGAAGTGGTTGCGTCATGTTGATCAGTACAGGGAGGAGAAAAATATTACAAAGATGTTAGACCAGTTTGATAACAAAGAAGAGCTTGATGTGTTTCTGTGTTCATTTATTAGCTGGCTTACAAAGAAAGATGGTACGCCATTTAAAGTTGAGTCAATTCATAATTGCTATGCCGCATTGGCAAGATATCTTCGTGAAAATTCTGCTGTTGAAGGTGGTATTCGAATCTGGGATAAGTATTCGTTTCCAAGAGCTCTTAGATGCTTGGATAGTAAAATGAAATCTTTGCAGAATAACAGTTATGGTGATACATCAAAAAGTGATTTGTTAACATCAAATGAGATCATATCATGTCTAAATCACAATTACTTGTCAGTTAATGATAATAAAGGTTTAATTAAAAGAGTATTCTTTTGATTGTCATTGTTGTGTGGATTAAGAGGAGGTGATACATATAGGTTGGGGTATCATGATCTTGAATGACGAAGTGATGGTGGTCTTTAATTAAGGTTTCGCAAAGAAAAAAATAATCAAGGTGGAGCGCTCTATTGACAACATTATGGTTATACTGGAACAAGATTTATTCCAATTCCACCTGATTGTGTTGAGAATCAGTTTACACCTATCAAAGATCTACTTCTTTACTTATCAAAACGTCTTACTAATTGTGAATCTAGTGCTTTATTCTTACAATGTACAAGAAAAAAAACAGATAATTACAGGTTTTGATAATTATAATATAATAATTCAAAAATTCATTCTAATATCTAAATTTTTTTCTTAGAAATTAAAAATGACATTTGGTATAAGGCTTCTCGGATGGGTGAAAACAAGCTGAAGTCAATGATGCAACAAATAGTAATCAATATAGGAATTGATCTTGAAGGAAGAAAAATCACGAATCATAGTTGTCGACGTACTGCAATAATGATATTGAAGGCTTTTGATGTTCCTGAGGATGAAGTTATGATATTTTCAGGACATCGCTCATGTAAAGATATTCATGCTTATAGCAGTCCAACAGATGACCAACGATTATTATCCATGGCATTACTAATTCTATATACAAGTTACAATAAAGATCTTGAATCATATTATTCTTTTCCGAGAAATTCTTATATTGATTACAATTCTGATGAAAATGATAAAATGGGTTAGCTTTATTTTTAAAAAAAAGAATATTAATAATTTACATTTACTTATCTTTAGATATTTTAGTAATAGAAACTTCAAGTACATTGGATTTGAGTCAAGAAGTTTCAAACATCTCAAAATTACCACCACAGCAAGACATTTTAAATACAATTTCAAAAACAACACAAAATTGAAAACCCTTTAACCCAACTACCAATCAATTCATTTCTAGTAATTTTATTTTTAATAATTTAATCGAATATATTTGCTAGAGTTGATTTTTTTTTTAGATAAATTTCGTAACAAAAAAGTTAGATTAAATTCGAATTCGAAACTTCTAATGTCATTTAAAAGTCTATTGATAAATAACAAGAAACTACGACTCCATCATCAGGATCGAACATTACAAACAGATAAATTACAGTTTAAGCATTAAGACCAAGCATCACAGAAAAATAACAACTGCCACTATAAGCATGTAATTGAAAATCTCGAAGATGAACAAGTATCAGCACCAATTACTAAACAATGCAAAAATGAACCAATATTAGCACCAACTACAAATAAAGAATGAAAGGCAATGCAATCAATTACAAATAATGTTATAATTCAAATTCTGGACATTGAGAAGCATCTGAATATTAATTTGAAGATTTCTTTTCAAAATGATTGATTTTTTTAATTTGATAATTTTTTTTTTTCTTAATGAGTTTTTTTTTTATTAAAAATTTCTTCAATGTAATTACAATAAAATTGGCAAATTACAAATAAAATAACAATTTCACTTAATTACAAAGTTTTTTATATGCCCTAATATAAGTTTTTGCCTAGTTAAAAACTGCTACTTTTTGAAATAGCTAATTCACACGAGTATATATGAAAATCACATGATTCTCATATATACCTGTGTGAATAAGCTTTCGAAAAAAGCATGGGTTGTTACATAAGACCCGTACGATAAGTATTTTAATCGGTATTAATTGTTGACTGGTCAACAAACGATCTATAAGAACTATTAATTATAATCGATTAATTGTTAGTAATCGTTATTAATCAGCCAAAAAAGTTTCTTGATGGCTAGTTAAAAAGATTAAATTAAAATTTTATTTATTTATTTATTAAAGAAAATTTTATTAATTTATTTTGATATATAATATTATTAATAAATTTTAATAAATTTATAAATATGATCAATCTCTCTAAAGCACGCAAATTTTATAATTTAAATAACCAACTTCACCTGTGTGATTTTAGTGCAACCTGCTTAAATTCTAACAGTTTTGTTAGTAGTATCTGGCTTTAGTTCACTTAAATTCAAAAAGACTGACTTTATTATAGTAGTTAGAACTTAAATCTCTTGAATTCTAAAGAACATCAATTAACTCGAATTTTAACGAATATATTTAAATTGTCCAAATAGTGTTCTAAAAAGCCTTACTATTAAAGTGACAATAGTAGCTCACTTACAAGATTTTTTTCAGCACGTGATTTTTGTTCAATTAGATCGATGGATCAGGTGTAACATAAAATCAAAACAATCAAATTAAGTGAAAATTTTTAAAGTAATAAGCATCATCTTTAGAGTTAGAATTAGGAATAAAAAAGGTTATGGCTTACACTAAAATTTCACGAAGAATTTTTTTATTAGAATGCAGAAGGCAGTTTTATAGATAAAATTTTGAGTTAATAGCAATTTTTTAAAAGAGAAAACTTAATCTGTTCTGAGGATATAGATAATTTATCCTATACCTGAGGGGTATAAATACCTTATCCTGTACCTAGAAGGTACAAGTTATTTAATCTATACCCTATATAACTTGTATTACTGTTACAAAAATCTACTTTTATAACAATAAGTATTGATGTCTAATCAAAGCTTAACTACTTTATCATATCAATCACAAATTAATGACAACTTTGAAAGTCATGATAAATTTGTTAATAAAATTAAAAATTATGTATATAATCTTGGTTTTACTATTAGACTTGGAAAGTTCAAATATTATAACAAATCTGAAAATGAAGAAAAGACTGTTCGAAAAAGAATATTACTATGTTCTCAAGCTGGTTTTGCTAAACCAAAAGAATCTAACTCTAATAATAAATTTTCAAAACAAGAACAAAATTAAATATTTCAACACTGTGGTTGCTTTTTTTATATTCATGCTTCTTTAAATAACTTAAATAAGTTATGCCAAATTATTAATATAGATCTTACTTATAATCATTTAATGGTTAAAAAAAATCATAGATTTTTTATATCTAATGAACGGAATATTTCTGATGATGTTAAACAGCAAATAGAATTATTATGTCAAGCTGATGTAGATGTTCCAACAATACATACAATATTAAAAGAAGAATTTGGCGATCATGTTACATGAATATACAATGTTCTTTATAATTTTATTTATCATTTAGAAGGATCAGGTTTAGAAAAAAGAGAATTAGATGCTAAAGAGTTTGTAAACATATTAGATTAATTTAAATATAATAATACTGAATTTTTTTATTATATTGATATTAATAAAGATATAAAAAGATTGGAGCAAGCAATATAGATGTTTTCTGAACAATATATTAATTATAATAGATTCAATAATATAATTGTTTATGATAATACTTACAAAATGAATCATTTTAAAATGCCATTTAGTATTTTTACTAGTGTAAATAATTATGGATATAGTATATGTTTTGCTAGGACATTAATAATTGATGAAACAGAAGAAAATTTTTTATGAATTTTTATTAAATTTCTTGAAATGATTAATCAATATGCACTTGCAGTTATTCTTACTGATGATGATCATGCAATGACAAATGCTTACTCTAAAGTTTTACAACCATTAGACATAAAACATCATTTATGTCAATGGTACTTAATGAAAAATATAATGAAAAACTTAAGTGCAAAGATTAATACAAGCTAGTTTGCATTTATAAGAGATTTTTACAAATGTTTTGGAAAAATGAATATTTCTAGCTTTCTTTTCCAATGGAATACACTTACAATGTCTTATCTATTAGCAGTAATCTATTTATCTTATATAGAAAAAACAAAAAAAAAATGTGTAGCATGTTTTAATAATGATACATTTATGACAGATATGACAATTACACAATGTGGTAAGTTAATAAATAATATGATAAAAGGTTATTTAGATACAAATACTTCTCTTACTATGTTTATAACTGCATTTCAATCAACATTAGATATTCAAAATAAAAAAACAGAATTTTGAATATATCAACAAAATAATTTTAACATTATATATAAAACTACAAGTATCTTTGAACATTAGGCTGCTTTTATTTTAACTACTTATGCTTTTAAAAAAATTCAAGAACAATTAATGTAGTCATTTATATATAAATATAAAGACATTTCAAAATAATATATTTAGAATATTATATTATAATTTTTTCATTATTCAAAATTATTTACAGATAATTTTTTATTATAAATAAA